GTGTTTAATTCCCTTCAAATTAAAACACACAAACAAAATTGTTCATGCAATGGTGACCATGCTGGTCAATGTTGCCAGTTTCTCAGGGGATCACAAACTACGTTGTGTCACAGTCTGGGTTACAGGCAGTCGGAGTCCCGGCTCGGTACGTCGGGACCAGGGTAGAGGTCAGGAAGCAGGAATCAGCAGTCCAGGGGTCAGGAAGGCAAGAGTCCGAGGGTCAGGAGACCAGGAGTCAGGAGGCCAAGGGTCCAAGAGTCAGGATACCAGGAGTCAGGAAGCCGAAGCACAGCTAGGTGGGTAGCGTGTTGCTGTGGCAAAGAGCCAGAGGGAAATGCTGGTCTTATATACCCCTCCTGGCCCTTGCCACCAGGTGCTACGAGTCTTCTGTCAAGCCTCACCTGTGCGCCTTGCCCTTCCAGGCCAAACTCAGGAAGGCCCCAGTCCTGCGAGGCCCTACCAGTCACAGGGCCTGGTTCCTGCACGCACTCCTGACATGTTGTCTTCCAATCCATAACCCCAAGCCCATCACCCCAGGCACTTACTCCTGAATCTGTCCCTGAAAAGAAACCAATATTATCAATGCTCAGTTCATTGCAGGATGCTGTGTAGTGGTACAGACAAAGCATTGGTGATTAGAAATTAGCCCTCAAACCACAATGAAAATCCCTGCTCATTCCTATATTAATATTCAGTTAACTGCACAGGTAGTGATCAAGTTGACTTCCTGTTATCAACAAGGAAAAAAAGATGGATGATTAGCAGATGATGCTTTCATTATCCTTGGTGTCTCCAGTGGAGAGCCATGTTTCATATGCAGAACAGTCATGTCTGATTGTTCTTCATTACATGCATTTCCTATTTATTAATACACCTGATCAGATTTTGCTCTCATATGTGTGTGTTTGCTGTAGATAAGCACATCAATATAAATTAATCCATAATAGCATTAGCAGAGGAACTTGAATGAAAGCATAATCTTAATGGGATAAAAAAATTCCAATATTTTTTTTCCAATCTACTGACAAGAATTAATAAACCTTGCTACGGAGGGTTTCTGTTTTCTTTTTTAATTTACTGACCATGGGAATTCATAGGTGGAAGTAAATTAGCCATAGAAAGGCTCTCCCAAAGACTGGGGAAAGTGAAGTGAAAATGAAAAACAAAATGTTAATTAAAAAATGAAAGCCTAAGCTGTAGAGTTCAACCAAAGCTGGTTCCCTTGTGCATAGCATGGCCAATGTGAAGGCAAAATGTCATGCTTATTAAGGCTTTAAATGCCACATGTTATATTTGGCTTTTTGAGTGAACAGAGTTTAAATAGTTTTTATTACAATCGGAGTGTTTGCAAACGATAATGGAAGCTGAATATGGTTCCTCTTTTGAGAGACTAAAGGATGATGAAGTGCCTGTGAAATGGCATCCTGTCTTGGTAAATCACTTTGCTGTGTGACTATAAATAACACTCTTTTATTACCCTTTTTAGACAAGTGTTGGAAGCTGGAAACAATAGTCTCTATGCATTCTATTTTCCTGCGTACATATCTAGAGCCAAGACTGAACAGCTAGTTGCAGTGGGTGTAGCTTGATTGTATCAGTATGAGGTCTTGTCTAGGTATCAGCTTTGACTGAGGTGAAATGTATTCTTTTTTTGGCTTTCTACCCCAGTATTGTTTCCTTTGACTGGCAATGGCTTTCCAAGGTCTTTTTCACATCACATGCTACCTGGTCATTATTATTACTATTATTGTTTTTTGTTTGCTATTTTATTTCATTTTAAAATTTACAATATTTCAAAATTGCAATACAATAAATGGCAAGTGACAAATTATTTCTGCAATTATCTGAAAACAACATCTGGCTGTAAATTGTCCTTGTATTTACTACTCCAATATACCACCACCACCCATTTCCCCACAAATTTGTTGGGCTGGTTTACTTGTCTTCACCTATGGGTTAGTTTAATCATTATCACCATAGTCTATTTCCCCCCTCAATACATTCAGTGGTGGCGGGTGTGATTAACTTTTCCCAAATTTTTTTTGCAATAATTATATTTGCTGCAGTGATCAAACGGATTACCACCTCCTAAATCACTATCCACCATAACATTCTTTGTACAGCCAAGCAGAAATATCTTAGGTTCCATTGGAATACATATTTCTAACATTTTCGAAGTTATTTCCCTTTGATCTTTTTGAACTACAAATGGCTGGTATTCAACCCAGGATCTCCACAAGAAAAGCATATAAATGTGCTCACTTTTTCAAATTTAACTTGATGCGTAACATCTGATGACTGCTTTATTCATTTTCATATAGGGGCACACCAGCTGTGGCTGCTGCTGAACAGAAATTCTGAATCTTTTTTTGGAACATCATGTCCTGTGGCAGGCTGAAGGTGTGATGTGGGGAAGGGGGGAATCCTATGGGTATCTGTTTCTGTTCATGGGCAGGTGGGGAACAGCAAAACAAACTGCATTGCTGTAATACCATGAAAACATATTTGGGAGTAAGTCCACTTACCGTATTTTTCGCACCATAGGACGCACCGGACAATAGGACGCACTTTGTTTTAGAGGGGGGAGAACAAGAAAAAAAAAATCTCCCCCTCTCTGCCCAGCGCCCCTTCAGCGAAGTGGCAGGAGGCGCTGTGCAGAGGGGAGAACTTTCCCCCTCTTGTTTTCCCGCTCTAAAACAAGGTGCCGTTTAAGGTGCGTTCAGGCGGCTACCTTGGAAGCCTGGAGAGCGAGAGGGGTCGGTGTGCACTGACCCCTCTCACTCTCCAGGCTTCAGGTTCCTTTCGACCTGCTCTTTGGGGCTGGCGGGGGGAAGCCCACCACCAGCCCCAAAGAGCAGTTCAGGGAGCAGCGGAAAGGCGCAGCGGAGAGGCTCCTGCCATAGCCGTGCGTCACCTCTCCAGCCGGGAGAGGGTCGCGGGGCTATGGTTTCTTTAGCCCCGCGCGCTCTCCCGGCTGGAGAGGTGACACGCGGCTATAGAGGCTCCTGCCATAGCCCCCGTCACCTCTCCAGCCGGGAGAGGGTCGCTGGCGCGCGCTCTCCCGGCTGGAGAGGTGACGGGCGGCTATGGCGCGTCACCTCTCCAGCCGGGAGAGGGTCACGGGGGCTGCTTTGCGCCCGCGCGCGCTCTCCCGGCTGGAGAGGTGACTGGCGGCTATGGCAAGAGCCTCAATAGCCGCCCGTCACCTCTCCAGCCGGGAGAGGGTCGCTGGGGGCTGCTTTAGCCCCGCGCGCGCTCTCCCGGCTGGAGAGGTGACTGGCGGCTATGGCAAGAGCCTCAATAGCCGCCCGTCACCTCTCCAGCCGGGAGAGGGTCGCTGGGGCTGCTTCGCCCGCGCGCGCTCTCCCGGCTGGAGAGGTGACGGGCGGCTATGGCAAGAGCCTCAATAGCCGCCCGTCACCTCTCCAGCCGGGAGAGGGTCGCTGGGGGCTGCTTCGCCCCGCGCGCTCTCCCGGCTGGAGAGGTGACGGGCGGCTATGGCGCGTCACCTCTCCAGCCGGGAGAGTGTCGCTGGGGGCTGCTTTCGCCCCGCGCGCGCTCTCCCGGCTGGAGAGGTGACGGGCGGCTATGGCGTCACCTCTCCAGCCGGGAGAGGGTCACGGGGGGCTGCTTTCGCCCCGCGCGCGCTCTCCCGGCTGGAGAGGTGACGGGCGGCTCTGGCGCGTCACATCTCCTGCCGGGAGAGGGGCGCTGGGGGCTGCATTCGCCCCGCGCGCGCTCTCCCGGCTGGAGAGGTGACGGGCGGCTCTGGCTAGAGCCTCACTAGCCCCCCGTCACCTCTCCAGCCGGGAGAGGGTCGCTGGGGGCTGCTTTCGCCCCGCGCGCGCTCTCCCGGCTGGAGAGGTGACGGGCGGCTATGGCAAGAGCCTCAATAGCCACCCGTCACCTCTCCAGCCGGGAGAGGGTCGCTGGGGGCTGCTTTCGCCCCGCGCGCGCTCTCCCGGCTGGAGAGGTGACGGGCGGCTATGGCAAGAGCCTCAATAGCCGCCCGTCACCTCTCCAGCCGGGAGAGGGTCGCTGGGGCTGCTTTCGCCGCGCGCTCTCCCGGCTGGAGAGGTGACGGGCGGCTATGGCGTCACCTCTCCAGCCGGGAGAGGGTCACGGGGGGGCTGCTTTAGCCCCGCGCGCGCTCTCCCGGCTGGAGAGGTGACGGGCGGTTATGGCGTGTCACCTCTCCAGCCGGGAGAGGGTCATGGGGGGCTGCTTTCGCCCCGCGCGCGCTCTCCCGGCTGGAGAGGTGACGGGCGGCTATGGCGCGTCACCTCTCCAGCCGGGAGAGGGTCACGGGGGGCTGCTTTCGCCCCGCGCGCTCTCCCGGCTGGAGAGGTGACGGGCGGCTATGGCGAGTCACCTCTCCAGCCGGGAGAGGGTCGCGGGGCTATGGCGTCTTCGCTCCATAGGACGCACACACATTTTCCCTTCATTTTTGAAGGGAAAAAAGTGCGTCCTATAGAGCGAAAAATACGGTAAATTCATTCCCAAATGAATGTGCTTCTCTGTTGGGTGAGAGACAAGGGAAAGGTGTCCCTGTTAATTTCCTTCAACCTCTCAGCAGCTTTCTATACCATTGACCATGGTATCCTTCTGGAACAGCTGCCCGAGTTTGGGGTGGGTGACACTGCTTTGTGGTGGTTCCAATCCTATTTGGATTATCATTTCCAGAGGGTGATGCTTGAGGATTCCTCTTTGGCCCCATGGAGCGTTAAATGTGGGATTCCTCAGGGTCTGATTTTATCCCATATACTGTTCAACATCTACATGAAACTGCTGAGTGAGGTCATTTGGAGTTTTGGAGTACATTGTCAGCAATATGCTGATGACACATCTCTATTTCTCCTTTACATCTGCAGGTGTGGCAGTGGATGTGCTGAACTGTTGTCTTGCCTCAGTAATAATTGGATGTTAGAACTGTAGAATTGTAGAGTTGGAAAGGACACCAAGGGTCATCTAATCCAACCCTCTGCAATGCAGGAATCTTTTGTCCAATGTGGGGCTTGAACCCACGACTTTGAGATTAAGTCTCATGTTCTAACAACTGAGCTACCCATGTGATGACAGTCAGCAAACTGAAGATCAATCCAGATAAGACTGAGGTGCTGTTAGCGGATGGATAGGAGATTGCCTGCTCTTGAAGGTGCTACACTCCCTCTGAAGGAGTTGGTATGTGTCAGGAGCTCATCCTACACTAGGGTAGGACCTTGGTAGAGACACATGCCCAACTGGCATGTTCCCTCCTTCCTGGTCTATCGTTCGGGAGCTTCAAAAACTTTCTTCTGCCCGAACATCACAGCGACCGATGCCAACAGACATCGGCACACTTAGGGACCCACAGAGTGTTCACAGTTTGCGTAACAGAACCCCAGCCACTCAGCATTTTGGCTAATCTACTTTATTTACATATAAACACACACGGAGCACTGCAACATGGCTCCCTCTCTCTCTAGCATCAGACAGCAAAGAGAGAGAACAAAGGACAACAGTCCCACTTCACAGAACACAGCAACACAAACATCCTGTCTCCGTCACTTCCAACTCTATGGAGTCAAAACATATACCGTCATGTGAAAGACAACAATCCCATGACTGCAATCACAGAGCAGGAATTCTAACAATATGTAGCTTGGCAGTACTTCTGGATCCTTTGCTGTTGCAAGCTTCCACAAAGTATTGAAGTGGGAGGAGGAACTCCAGAGCAGAATAGATATGTTGCAGCAGATACGAAGACTTGGTGAAATGGGGAAGGGGGACAACCAGTATATGTTTCTTTACTCAGGTCCTTTTCCAGACACTGCTGGTTCAAGCTTAAACAGGGATTTCAGCATCAGTTCAGAACTGTCAGAACCTTGGACAGTTCCAAGTAGCACTCACATCCATAAGCAAGACAGAAGTGCAACAGATCTCCCCTAATCCCTGCGACGAGTGAGCTCCCGTTGTTCGGTCCCAGCTCCTGCCAACCTAGCAGTTCAAAAGCACGTCAAAGTGCAAGTAGATAAATAGGTACCGCTCTGGCGGGAAGGTAAACGGCATTTCCGTGCACTGCTCTGGTTTCACCAGAAGCGGCTTAGTCATGCTGGCCACATGACCCGGAAGCTGTCTGTGGACAAACGCCGGCTCCCACGGCCTATAGAGCGAGATGAGCGCCGCAACCCCAGAGTCACCCACGACTGGACCTGACAGTCAGGGTACCTTTACCTTTACTTTTAACTTGTGATTCCCAGCAACTGGTATATAGCACCTCTGAAAGTGGAAACAGGATGCTCTTTCAGGAATGCAATCCATACTAAGCTGGCCTTAACTCCAACTAACATATAATAATAATAATAATAATAATAATAATAATAATAATAATAAAATTTATTTATATCCCGCCCTCCCCAGCCAAAGCTGGGCTCAGTGCGGCTAACAACAATCAAAATAATCCAACGTTCTAAAAACATTTCATTATAAAAATTAATTAAAATCAAATTGATGGCAACCATTAAGCAAAATTCTGTGCAGATTGCCAGAGGAGGGGGCCAGGCTGCGCCCTGACCAAAGGCCTGGTGGAACAGCTCTGTCTTGCAGGCCCTGCGGAAAGATGTCAGGTCCCGCAGGGCCCTAGTCTCTTGTGACAGAGCGTTCCACCAGATTGGAGCCGCGGCCGAGAAAGCCCTGGCTCTAGTTGAGGCCAGCCTAACCTCTCTGTGGCCTGGGATCTTCAGGATGTTTTTATTTGCAAACCATAAGTTCCTCTGTGGGACATACCAGGAGAGGCGGTCCCGTAGGTACGAGGGTATCTTGAAACAAAGCCAGCTTGCCATCTTCTTCCAGTGCCATTCAATGACATTTGGTGCCTGAAGTATAATACATATGGTGCCCCACCTTCTAGGAACAGACCTTTTAAAATTCTTGCCAATCCATTCAGATTCAGGTTCTGCCACTATCTATTTCTGCCACTAAGACAGAAGGAGACTATATGAAGGAGATTGCTTCACCCTGCTGCATTGCAGAGACAGCTCTCTCCCCTTCCCACCAAAGTGCCATTATCCACAGCTATGTCTACCAAACTTCTCCTCACTTACGATTCTCAGCAACTGTTATTTAGAGGCATCCTTCAACTGACAATGGAGGGAGAAATCCACTGGTTTTGAAAGTGCAGCGCAGAATATGTTGGATGACTTTTACAATTGCAACTGAAACAGCAGAACATTGACGGTAGAATCATATAAAGGAAGGGAGGGAGAGAGAGATCATAGGGAAAAGGCAGCATTCAGTTTGTGAAAATGTTCTCTCTCTATTTTTTTTTTTAACATCCCCTCCTTGGATAGTTAGTAGACAACGTTTCCTGGAGTATTGAGAGTGCTAGTAGGAGTTGAAAGACATCACTTGGAACCACAACAGCGAATCACAGCAACACAGAAAAAAGAATGCAGAAATGCCTGCATGGGGCTCTTTTAAATGACATGAACCCCCCCAAAAGAATTATACAGGAAGGAGAAGGAAGCTAAATATATTGTGTAGCACCAAACTTTTGGTGGGGAATCAGAACTCTTAAGGTACCAAAATTGGTTTTACTAGCAAAAAAGAGACTTTACTCATAATTTAGGAGTGAAAGAAAAATGATCTTTCCACCAACCTAGGGGGTGCAAACTAGAGAGTGTTTTCTTGGTCTATGGATATGGCCATATGGAGGAAGTAATGTTTTGACCTAAAGTCACTCTGGCAAACCATTTTTAACCCCCAAAATAGTGACTGGGATTATTGTACCAGGGCAGACACAACTGCCTCCTCCAAGTTGCTTCGACGGAGTGTTTGGCACAGAGGATTCCCACCCCGCAGCATCTTTGTTGTTGCTTAGTCGTTTAGTTGTGTCCGACTCTTTGTGACCCCATGGACCAGAGCACACCAGGCACTCCTGTCTTCCACTGCCTCCTGCAGTTTGGTCAAACTCATGCTGGTAGCTTCGAGCATCTTAATGAAAGCAATTGCTCTGTCATAAAACTAGCTTCTGGAATAAGAGTCAAACAACATTTGGATTGTACCGCATTGGTTACCCAGTACTAGAGAGTATGATAGAATTTGGTGATTGGGTTTAATATTGGTAAGTTTTGTTTTTGTTTGCTTTTAAAGCTTCTTATGCATGTTCTCATGATTTCTTTGGATACTTACCAAACTAAACTGCCATACCCCCCACCCAAAAAAGCAATAATTAAATAGCATTTTATCTAAGATGCTCTAGACAGTAAATTGAAATTACAAAATATCTAGCAAATATTCCAGTGGCATGTTAATCCACTTCTAAGTTATAAACTATATATCCATAGCACTTTAAAAAATCCACAGATCTGGATCAATAGTGAATTAACAAAAGTAGACTAGCCTGATGCCAAGTGAATAGTTCACAGAGTTGGCTACTGTACAAAAATAATGTCTTATAGGTCAACCTACAAGTGCTCAGAATGGAAAGTAGAGGAGGCAAGGAAGACTTTAAAACTATATCCTCTTATGTTCGTAAGGCTGTTGGAGCAGAGGAAGGCTAGAGACTGCTGAAGAAACTGTTGCATTCCTCTTCAGATGGAAGTTACATTTTATGCCAGCCCTCATTTGTATTTTCATGGCAACCTTATACAGAACATGATATGCATCTTGGTAGGCTGATGTTATAATGCATGGTCAACACCCTCATGAGATGTATCTGTTGCTTGTTGCTGGACTGTACTACTTCATATTTGAACGCCCCTTTAAAAATGCAGTACTTTCAAACCTAGAATGTCAGGGGGGAAGCTGAGGCTCAGACCTTTGTCCCATCATGTTAGGTTTGTTTCAGCAACATATTATGTGAAAAGACTGTGTAGAGTTTGGCTCTTAGCCATGGTGCAGAGACAGCAATTTGCAGCACAGGAACACTTAGTTCTATGTCAGACTTGACCATGAAGCTGGTTTTGAGCTATTGCCCTGAGTTAAGTCCAATGAGAAATCAGCTGTGGTATCATCACCTTGTTTGGGTTCAAGGAAGACTAGCCACAGAGGAAGCCTCCTGATCTCAATAGGCCAGAACATACCAGTTTAATGCTTCTTGTGCCTTTGAATTCTTCTGAGCAAGTTTTGTTCACTACTCTAAACAATTAAGAATTCTGGTCATGGGATGGTGGTTGGCAATATATTAGTTATTTATTTAGATATCTATATAACTTAAGCACCACTTAATTTAACTGACCTCTAAGCAGTTCACAAAAGAGACATATAAAAAATGAATAAACATTCACATCAGTGTACCTCAAAATCATACATACATGCACCTACATATGTGAGAAACCATGCAACGTGATCTAAAAGTTCCTCAGAAAAGTCAGATGAAAACTTGTCTTAACCTGTGCTTTCAGATGGTGTTTGCCTCAGGCCACCCTCAAATGCAACAAAGCTGAACCTGAGGTCTCTTCTACTAACAGCCCATGGTAAAATATTGGTGCTGTGATAGTTGTTTCCATCTCATTCCCAATTCCCTTCCCCTATACATCTTAGCCACTTTATGCAAAAAATTGATTTCTCAATTAAGCTATGGGAAAGCTGATGGCAAGGACTGACAATGAGCTGCTTCTATAGCAGAGGTTGTAGCGTCCTCCTGATGTTGTTAGACTATAACTTCCATCAGCTCCCATCCAACATAGCCAATGATCAGGGATGATGGGCATTGTAGTCCAACAACACCTGGAGAGCACCACATTCAAAACCTACTGTTCCTCAGCATTAATGAGTGTTTATTTTTTTGAATATTTTTTATTCAATTTTCCATTTGACATTTGCGTAAATCATAATCATATATGGATCCCAGATCTGCAGCTTTAAAAACCTTACTGTCTTAGAGGCATTCCAAACTAAGTTTTTCCGCTGCCTGCTGGGGATCCCCTCTTGCGTATCCAACATAGCGGTCCGTTTGGAGGTTGGGCAAATTCCTATCAGTACTCGGATATGGATATTGAAGATCCATTATTGGCTAAAGCTTATTTTCTTCCCGGTTGGGCTGGCACCTTTAACCTTATTAGATACCTACCAATCCAAATGGAAAGCTACACTGCT